GACGCGCCACCCACCATGACCTTGACCCCCTCATTGACCCCTACGCAGGTCAACGTGCTGCTGACTCTGTTACAGCAGCATGCATCGAGTGTTACGGCCGCAGAAACAGCCCAACCTGCTGCTTCCGCATCTGCTAAAAAGGAACGTGCAAAAAACGAAAAGGCCGCACATGGAATCAAGACGCCATGCCTCGACAAAGACATGGTCGCCAGCATCCTGCCTGCCCCGGCTACTGACAACGATAGTGACGACTCCGACAATGACGCTGGTGAGGTCCTCAGCACCGCTGCAAATTCAATTCCCATGGATCACCTCCCACCCCTCCCGTCCACTAACCCCACCCTCTTGGCGGCGTCCTTCTTCAACGCGGTTGTGCGTGAGCAAGCAGAAGTCCTGGAGGAACTTTGGGCCTACCTGAAGCACGCGGAGTTCAAGGTGCAGCATGGCGACGCGCCAGGGGGCCTCGAATTCCTCGCCGACGCGCTCGCCCTCATATCGCGGCGCTTTGAATTCCTCCAAGTCGAGGACGCCTCCGACTTCCGCACGGCCAAGCGCTTCAAGCTGTACCATCAGAAGAGCCTGCTTACCTCCAGGCCCTTCAAATAGGCCGTCGCTGACGTGGCTGCAATGGATCACGCCGAGGGTGCTTTTGCTCGCGGCAATCGCGGAGGCGGCCGCATGCCCATGTCGTTCGCGCCCAAGCGTGGTCTGCCGCCTACGGGAGAGTTCCGCGGCTTCCGAGGCACTTGCTTCCGCTGTGGCCAGCCGGGGCATGTTGCCAGCAGCTGCTCGGTAAATGGGCATGGTGGCCAAGGACCCGCACTCGTGGTGTAGGGGTCGGGCCATTGGCGCTTGCGCAAAGTGGCGCAAGGCTCAATGCACCCGGTGTGTGCGTAGGCCATTGGGCCCACCCCATGGGGGCACGGGTGGCGGAGAGCCAGCCCTAGTGTAGGCCATTTAAGGGCCCTAGGCTCAGATCAAGGGAAGGGGAATATACCACCTCGGTCCCAAGTGATGGCCCGACTTTGCGGGGCGGATTTTGCATGCCTAGGAGCATGGTTGAGTAGCGATGTATTTTGATTCAAAATGAGGAGCAGTGGCCCTCTTTTTTTGGAAGTTCTTAGTCCTAGAACACAACCAGAGAAATGGGAAAGCAGCACCAAAAGAGGTGCAGCAAAAAAAAAAAAACCACGGGGGAGAAGGGGGTTTTTAAAGAGGTGCGAAACGGGGGAAGCATAATGGGTGGCTCAACCCTCGCAACATATCAGGCAGCAACCCCGGCCAGAGAAGGGAGGCCATCGGGAACACAAATGGGCCGCCAATCACCCTCACACAGCATTCATCGGTTGGACATGTGAAAAAAAATAACAAACAAACAAACAAACAAGCAAAACAAAAACAAAAAACAAAAACCGTTATCGAGCATCATGTGAGCTTCACAAGAGGCCTACCCTCCAACCTAGTTGTGCTACACCCAGGATGCTAAGAGCCACCCCTCTGTGGGCATACAAGAGCAGCCACACCAACCTCCTCCGGGGCTGCCTAGTTTGGCCAACCTAAAAAAAAAAAATAAAAAAAAACGCATGACGAAAGCATGCACGCGATATGGCCCACGAATGGGGGAAAGCAACAAACGCCTTGCAAGCATGCCATACGAGTATGTGAGCAAGCGGTGGCCAGAGGAAAGAAAGGAGGGGGCACGGGTGTTGAGACTTGAAACCCAAGAAATGATCATGCAAGTGAAATAAGTCAATAGACGGAAACATGCACATGGGAGTAGAAGCGCGGGTGAAAGCACAAATAGGGGGAATACGAGGGCAAAAAGGGAAGGAAAATAAGGGGAAAGTCATGCACAAACATCGGGGCGCAGGCTCGAACGCAAGCTCGGCATGTGCGGACGCGCAACTTGACAAACATGCTGATCACGACCGATTAGAATCGCTCAAGGGCAGGCGGCCTACCCAAGCATCTCCGCTCGCAGATTGCGTCTCAGATCGGCACGCCCTCCTTAGCCACTAGGCTTTCACACTCTCCCTCCACGCTGGTCCCATCAGACATTGGCCTTGCATACGAACTTAAGCTTTTGTCCCTTGCTTCGCCATGCATAATGTCACCCCCACAGGCACTCGGTTTCACGAACACGCACACAATGGTGACCCCTACGAATACGTGGTTACTGACAAGATGGTCATCCAGATGTGTGGCCGCCTACGTACCACGTTCGCTTGGTGGAGCTCGTGGTGCACTAGCATTTTCATCCTCTCCGTCATTGCCAAAGGATATTGGATGCCATGGAAACTTGGGCCGCCACTAGGTTTTCACGATCGCAACCACGCCGGCGCACACCTACACGAAACATTCACGCGCACGGCCATCCTTGAACTCACTGAGACTGGTGCGGTTGTGCAAATACCAGCGGCGCAACTGAGATGCATAAGCCCTCTCAACGTGGTCGAGCAGAAAGACAAGTGCCGCCGTATTCTGGATCTGCATAAGGTGAACGACGCACTAATCGTCCCCAAGTTTAAATATGAGGGACTCAAACGGGGGGCAGACCTCGCCCGCCAAGGAGATTGGATGTTCGCCATCGACTTGAAATTGGGCTATCACCATGTCGACATCCACCCGTTGTGCTAGACGTTCCTCGGCTTTGAATTCGACGGGCGCACGTATGCCTTCCGATCCTTACCGTTCGGCCTTGCCACAGCTCCATTCGTCTTCACGCAGCTTATCAAGCAATTAGCGAGGCGATGGTGGGAGCAGGGGGTCCGCGTGATACCCTACGTGAATGATATCCTCTTTCTGTGCTCAACCCAGGCACACGCTCTAGCTACATGCCAGCGGGTAATTATCAACCTCAAAGCCGCAGGGCTCGTACTCAACTCGAAGAAGTCCAAGCTGATACCAACACAGCACCTTCGGTTCCTAGGCGTAGAACTCGACACAAAGACCGGCCGATTTTCCAACGGCGACGAGCGGCGAGCCACACTCAACGCCACCCTCCAGGCCCTACTGCGCGCAAGCGAAGCCCAACAGAAAGTCCCAGTCCGACATCTGGCCCGAGTTACAGGCATGCTGGCATCGATGGTCGTCGCACTAGGCACCACTACCCGAGCGTTCAGCCACGCCATGCGAGAAACTATCACGATGCGCCGACGTGGCGCGTCCAAGCGAAGTACGGCGTCCGCCATCGTGCAACCTCAGCGGCACAGGTCCACGGCAGCACAGCGTTACGGCGGCACAGCGTCACGGCGGCATAGCGGCACGTGGACACGGCGGCACAGCGGCACAGGTACTCAGCAGCATGGCGGCACAGCGGCGTGGCGGCAGGACTCTCCGGCGGGAAAACCGGGCGAAAGGCCGAGAAGGGCCCGAGGCGCGCAAGGCCCAAGGCGCGCAAAGCCGGCAGGGCGCAAAGGGCCGGCGGAGCGCTGGGGCCAGTGGACCAGTGGGCGCTTGAGGAGCCGGCGGGGCGTCTAGGGCCGGCGGGCCGCGAAGGGACGGCGAGGTGCTAAGGGCCGGCGAGGCGCGAAGGGCCAGCGAGGCGCGAAGGGCTGGCGGGCATGGGAGGGGCCGGCGAGGTACGCGAGGAGCCGGCGGGAGCGCGAGGGGCCAGCGAGGCGCGCGAGGGGCGGGGCGGGTGCGCGAGGGGCCGGCAGGGTACGCAAGGGGCCGGCGAGTACGCGAGGGGCCGGCGAGCACGCAAGGGGCCGGCTAGGTGCGAGGGGACGGCTAGGCGGGAGGGGCCGGTGGGACGTTAAGGGGCCGGCGGGACGTTAAGTGGTCGGCAGTGCGCTAGGGGCCGGCGGGGTACGCGAGGGGCCGGTGCGGCGCTTCAGGGGCGGTGGGCACGTTAGGGGTCGGCGAGGTGCGCGAGGGGCCGGCGGTACTCTATGGGCCGGCGGGTACGCTAGGGGCCGGCGGACGCGCTAGGGGCCGGCGAGGTGAGCCAGGGGCCGGCGGGGCGCTAGGGGCCGGTGGGGCGCGGTAAGGCTAGGGTGCAACGGGACTGTAGGCTAGGGCGAGGGGCGGAAGCGGGTGGGCGGACCTAACCTACTTTGATACCATGTTAGAATACAAGAATGACTAGAAATAGGGGAAGAACAAATGAGATTTAGGGTTGGAGTTGTACCCTCTAAGAATACACACCTATCTAGCCTATAACTTATACATACAAATATATGTATAAGTTGACACAGGGCTCCTCTGCTAAAGCCCCGCCCCCTTCCCATGCGCCCCCTCTTCTTCGCCGCAGTCGACGGTTGACCCGCGTCGGCCGTCCCATCGTCGCGGAGCCCGGTCACGTCGCCGAGTGTTGCGAGCCCCGTTGCCGCCGCAGCTGTTGTCGAAGCCGCCGCCGCCGCCGCTGTCGATGCTGATGCCGTCGCCGCCGTTGCAGCCGCTGCCCTCGCTGTCGATATCGCCGCCTTACACGCCGAGGGGTTGATCATGCTCGAGTAGCCGTCCCTGCTGCTGAGTATGGAGGTGCTAGGCTTAGGGGGTGTGTGGCTTTGTATGCTTTCGGCTACCAAGCCTAGGGGGTGTATTAAATTATATATATAAGTGTAGGCTTGGTAGGTGTTACTGAATCCTATTGTAGAAGGTACAACCCCCCTTCTTGTATCCCTCTCTCTTCGAATCCAATCCCTCTTCTCTCTCGATATATTTCTCCAACCTAAAACCTCACGCCATTTCCATGGCTTCCCTAGCTACCTAGCTACTTCAACAGGATTGTCCCCTCTACAGTAGGATCCATCAATGTAGCACAATTATCAGCCTAAATAAATATATATAATTCGACACTCTCTTCCTAGTCGACCCCCTTTTCTCTCGTCAATTTGTCTCACTAGCTAAAACCTATCGCCATGTCCTATGCCTAGTTAACTCTTCAACTTTTTTCAACACATTGCTCTTCCCATGTGTGAAACAATCTCTCCCTCATTAAAACGCCGATGCCGGGGATCGAACCCGGATCTTCCGCGTGACAGGCGGAGATACTGACCATTATACTACATCGACACGTCCACAGTCGACTATAAAATTATATGATAGCATTTTGTAATCGGACGCTCTGAACTGTGTCACCACCACTTAAGTAGTGCTGAGGTAGAACCATCAAAGCTGGTAACTTGGGTTCTCCATAAACACGCGAGCTTTGGATCAGTATTCAGAGTCTCGGTCTCTGAGACCTGGAAACTGCAGGGACTGCTTGGTGGTGGCAACAGTGAACCAGTTATTGAGGATGCCGACTACAGTGTAGCTGCTTGTCAGGGATGACACTTTAGCGAGGGAGAAGAACCAGTAGTCGGTATATTCGACCTTCACCACAGCTCCCATCACCTGCCAGCACAGGAAAAAACGGGATAGAAAACATCAAGGAACGTTGGCATAATGTGCTATGTATTTGCGATGGCCATGTCACACAAAGGGCCACATGTGCAGTGCATGTAGGACATGTGGAGCAAACACCATGCGGAATCATAGGAGAATCGATGAGAGTAATACAAAAAGGAACAACTTCATGAGTATGACATCCAGTGCAGGCTGTTTGAGAAAAGGCAGAATGGCACGATGCTTCGAGCACGTCCTTTGATCAAGCAAGCATGCCATGCAGCGATGCGCCATGGCACACCGCGCCTTTCCAGTGAATCCAGCACGGCAGCACGGCAGCACGTCACCTGAGACTTGGCCCAGTCTAGCCCATTCTTGTCCTTCAGCTCCTCGCTCCGCTTCTGCGACACACCAACACACACACCCACACACACACCAACACACACACCCCAACACACACACCCACACGCACACACCAACACACACACACCAACACACACACCCACATGCACACACCAACACACACACACCAACACACACACCCACACACACACACCAACACACACACACCAACACACACACAACACACACACACACACCCACACACCCACACACACACACCCACACACTCACACCCACACACACACACACACACACACACGCACCAGCACACACACACCAGCACACACACCAGCACACACACCAGCACACACACCAGCACACACACACCAGCACACACACACCAACACACACACCCACACACACACCAACACACACACACCAACACACACACCAACACACACCCACACACACACACCCACACACACACACCCACACACACTCACCAGCACACACACACCAGCACACACACACCAGCACACACACACCAGCACACACACACCAGCACACACACACCAGCACACACACACCAGCACACACACACCAGCACACACACACCAGCACACTCACACCAGGACACACACACACCAGGACACACACACACCAGCACACACACACCAGCACACACACCAGCACACACACACCAGCACACACACCAGCACACACACACCAGCACACACACCAGCACACACACCAGCACACACACCAGCACACACACACCAGCACACACACACGCACAACATGCACGCAAGTATGCAGAAACGCATCATACCCGCAAGAGGCACAAGCCCCCATCATGCAAGCATGCTCCCACATACACAGCATGCACAGGCAGCACGCATCCATGCAAGCGCACCGCACCCATGCATGCAAGCATCCTCCAACACAGGCAGCACACAGCAGAGCACAAGAGTGAGCGAACACAAGGAAAGTGAGAGTGGCAGAGACTGGGAAGGGCGCACAGCAAGAATGACCAACACAGCATTCTCCACCAATCCATCGGCAGCAGCAGCGGCAGCGCCAGTCGAAGCAGCAGCAGCAGTAGCAGCAGCATTAGCAGTAGCAGTGGCAGTGGCAGTGGCAGACATAACAGCAACAGCAGCATAACCACCCACTTGGTCCTTACAGGAAGCAGGGGGCATGCGAGAGCCACCTTCCCAAGACCCACCAGCCAGGCCTCATCTGCCCCAGAGTCCACATCTCACCTGCCCCAGAGTCCAGAACTCACCTGCCCCAGAGTCCAGAACTCACCTGCCCCAGAGTCCAGAACTCACCTGCCCCAGAGTCCAGATCTCACCTGCCCCAGAGTCCAGATCTCATTTGCGCTAGCCAGCCTTGCCGGCTCTCTTCCTCTCTTCACTGGGCCTGACCCTCCAACAGAGCACAGCGAGGCGGGCAGCAGACACGACTACTTTCGTCCGCAGAGCGAACAGAACAGGGAGGTTAGCTGCGGAGAGACCTTCATCATACCTCAGCTGCTCCGCATCTCAACTGCTCCAGATCTCACCTGCTCCAACCAGCCCTGCAGGCTCTGTTCATCAGGTTGTAGCACCCAGCAGGGCACAGCCAGGTGGGCAACAGACATGCCCGGCAGGGCGAGCAGTGGCTAGCTAGATCTTCCTTAGAATTAAGCTGAGGATGCTTAACCTGCTCAAGTTCTAACCTGCTCCAGTTCTAACCTGCTCCAGTTCCAACCTGCTCCAGTTCTAACCTGCTCCAGTTCTAACCTGCTCAAGTTCTAACCTGCTCCAGTTCTAACCTGCTCCAGAAGTGGCTAGATCTTCCTAAACCCTCACCTGGCGAGGCTAACCTGCTGCAGGGCAGGCCTCACCTGCTCCAGCCAGATCTGAAGGCTCTCCTCGTCGGGCCTGAGGCCCCAGCAGAGTAGGGCAAGGTTGGCGGCAGACAGGAGAGGGTCGTCCCGGAGGGCACGAAGAACGACGCCAGCAGCGGCCTTCAGAAATCCTCAAGTGGCAAGGCACATAACCCACTCAATACCTCACCTGCTCCAGCCCGGTCTGAAGGCTCTCCTCATCGAGCCTGAGCCCCCAGCAGAGCAGGGCGAGGTTGGCGGCAGAGACCATTCGGTCGTCCCTGAGGGCCAAGAGCGACGCAGCAGCACCAGAGGTGGCCAGACCTTCCTTCAACCTCCCCGATCCAAATCTCACCCGCTCCAAATCTCACCTGCTCCAGCCAAATCTGAAGGCTCTCCTCATCGGGCCTGAGGCCCCAGCAGAGCACAGCGAGGTTGGCAGCAGACACCATCGGGTCGTCCTTGAGGGCAAAGAAGGATGCGAGCAGCACGAGCAGCGGCCACACGAGGGCGATGAGCGCACGCAGCAGGTCGGGGAGAGAGCCCACGTCGTCGTCGCTGCCGCTAGGAGAGGGTGGCGTGAACGGTGCTGGGTGGTAGAGGGGAAGAGGGGGGGGGAGGAGGGGAGAGCAGGGGGGATGAGGGGGAGGGGATAGAGAGGGGCGATGAGGGGAGCAAAGAAGGGGGGAGAGGGCGGGAGGGACAGAGAGGGGGAGCGCAGGAGAGAGAGAGGAGTGCTGCGGCGGCCAGATGATGTCATGAATGGCTGCTAGAAAGGGATGAGCGGGGGGGGGTGAGGATGATGGGGGGATGAGGGTGGGGGGATGAGGGTGGGGGATGAGGGTGGGGGATGAGGGTGGGGGATGAGGGTGGGGGATGAGGAGGGTGGGACTAAGGAATCTGACGGGAGAGGAGGAGGCAGGGGAATGGGAGCCATCGGAGGTGAGTTGACGGACAAGGGAATGATGGAAAGATGCACAGGCATGGGGCAATGAAAGGGGCGATGGTAGTGGCTAGTAATTGACGTTGGCACTGGCTGGCAGGCAGGCAGTGCTGATGACACTTCCTTGTCTTGAGCCCTTTGACAGCTCCTGTGCCTCTCTT